TCAACACTGTCCGAGGCAAGTTCCTTCCTCGCCCTTTCCTTTGGTACTTGAAGTAAGGGGGGAGAAGGAAAGCTGATGGGTACCACCATTCACTCTGACTGACGCTCAGCCAACTGCCTGTGCCTCTTTGTGATTGCCCCCCGGGGATCTCTGGGGCTTCTCCAACCTCCTCTTGCTCACAGGCACACCCCACTCAGTAGGGGCATTTCCAAAGTGTAAACAAATGAGAAACTGAATCGCACTAGTCTGTGCCTGGCCACCTGTGGAAGCATCTCATAACTCCCGATTATGAGTAGACTCCAATAAGGACCCACGGGGAGGGATATTATCTCTGGAGCACATACGCCCTTGTGTGCTGAGATTGTTATATAGCATAACACCTGATTCTTAAAATGCTGTTTATTCATTGTGTACAAAAATAAATTTGTTCAGACACTGAGATGTGCTCTCGAAGAAAAAGTGGGGTGTCAACATCCAGGGATAAAGAGTGATATGGAAAGAGAAGTCATTAACTTCATTTTGGTGACAAGAGATTGAAGCAAACAACAGGGACCTGTGAGTGACTGAAGGTCCCCATCTGTTAGCTGAATGAACAAGTCATAATAATCAAAGCTAACATTAAAATGGTACCTACTATGTACTGGGCACTATTCTTTGCACTTTACATATATTTATGTATTTGGTCTTCCAAATAATGGATAAAATAGATGCCATTATGATCTATTAAAGATGACTTAACTGAGGGCACCTAGCTGGCTCAGTCATAAAGCCTATGACTCTTGATCTCAGGGTTGTGCGTTCTAGCCCACATTGGGTACAGAGATGACTTTTAAAAAAATGAGTTAACTGAGGCACAAAGAGGTAAGTAATTTGTCCAAGGTACCTTCCATTTCTAGTGTATTTTCCTATGTTTAAGGAGTGAGGTCTTTTATAACAAGTCTTAAGATTCTCCTACAATATGTTACCAAATAAATGTTATCTCTTCAACCATCTATATTCCTTGCAAAAAGCACTGAAAGAATTCAGAACCTTGAATATAGCTTAGTTAGTTAATGTCACCAGCATCTCAAGATAAAATCGATCTTATATGTCCTTAGATTCCACTAATTTTATACCATAGTATGAGATTCAAAACAATTAGCTTTTACTCTTAAAATATTATTAATGCGTCATCTTGAATATGCTAATCAATAAAATAGATTCTGCAAGTAGGTAGGAGGGTAAATGCATGTTAATTACTTGGAATGTCTTAATTAACTCCACTGCTAATGATACAGCAATTAAGGCTTAAATATGTTTAGAGGATACATCCATTTTCTACTGGGTCATGTTGCTGAGAATCGCTAAAACCCAATGGAATGGAGAGTTTTAGACCCAAATTCTCAAAGAATTCTAATCTCAATGAGAAAAACAAGTAAAACTAAAGTTCTAGACTCACTGCAACATGTTTCCCTCGCACATACACCTGCTTCTGGTTAGCTATTCTTTTCCCTTCTTGGTCCCCATATTCCTCTGAGCACCAGGAGGTACCTCATGGTCATAATCACTTCTGGAAGTGCTTGGGGGTCTGCATCGAGCACCACTGATGAGTCAACCTCCTATACATTTTTTCAAGCTTGTTTTTTTATTTCTGAGCCCTGGGAGGGGAGTTATGATGGTGCCTGTGGACCTATCTGGGCCTAGTGAGTACTTAATACAGAGACCAGGGTAGTTAGAGCCATTTTAGAAACTATCTTTTATTGTGGATTAAAGATAGCCACCTTCTTTAAAAGAAGGACAGGCTCCAAAGGCGGAGTCTATTTTCCCTCCTCTGAATGTGGGTTGGTCCTGTGACTTGCTTTAATCAAGAGAATACAACATACATGAAACTGTACTTAAGCAATCTGTAACTTCTGCTTTCATGCGCTTGGAACTCAACACCCTACTGTGAAAAATCCAAGTCACGTGGAAAGAGAACCGAGGTGCCAGGTGACAGCCCCTAATGCCAGCCAACAGCCAGCCCCTAATGCCCTAATGCCAGCCAACAGCCAGCACCAAGAACAAGTCACATAAGTGAGCCACCTTGGATGTTCCACTCCAGTCAAACCTCTGGATGACTACAGCTCCAGACTGACACCACATATGGAGAAGAACCTACGAGCTGACTTCGATCAACCCAGACTCTGAAGAGATAATAAGTGATTGTTGTTTAAACTATTAAGTATTTGAGGTGCTTTGTTAAGCAACAACAAATATGTCAAAGCCTTTCTACACCATGTTAGAGACCCAGGCTAAAAACCAGTTCCTGATTGACTCAGCATAACACAGGATAAGCCATGATAGGCCCAGAAATGGCCATGATGGAATTGAGAACACTTTCCAATATGCGACGTGGTGACGAAGACCATGGACCTTAGAGCCAGCCTGACTAAATCTGAATCCTGGCCTTTGATTAGATATGTACCTAGTAGAAGTTATATAACTTTTCCGTGTCTCAGTTTCCATTTGTGTAAAACAGAGATAATACTTTTCCCTACCTCGTAGGAAGATTAAATATCAGTATCAGCATATGTAAAGCACTTAGAACAGTGCCTGGCACAGAGTAAGTGTTCAGCAAATGTTCTCTATTAATATTATTATTTATTCTCTCTTCTGTTCTACATCCAAGGAACCACCCACTCACAGCTACAGAGGGCTCTATACTTAAGACATACGTAACCTTCCGTACTTAGACGGATGTGGAAAGAAGAGGAGTGCCACAGCATACTTCCTGTTTGATCCTACACCATGAAGAAATGGATTTCTGCCAGGTCATAAAAGCATGAATGTGATAAATGCTAAATCTGATCGGCCGCACACCAGCAAGGGAGAAAACCAAAAATCAGAGTAAATGCTCAGTTTGTAGGTCATCCGTAACAGAAATGTCAGACGATTAATAAAACTTTATCTGAGAATAACCTGCTCCTAGGTAGAAGAATCCACACTTTAGGAACTTTATAACTGATTTCCACTCATTAAGGCACTGAGCTTTATATGCATATGACATAGTTCTGGAGGGCTATTTCTCAGGCATGTTCTGCGCTATCATTATCAGACTTATAGCAACTTTGTTTCTAAATATTATTTGGTCGTTAACTCTACCAAACAGGTCAGGTTGCAGAGCACGGCAGTATCCGCGTGTGTCGTAATAAAATTAGTTCTAGTGTATTAGTAACACTGGGTTCATTTTGGTTTGGGGTTTTCGTTGGTTTTGTTGTTGTTGTTTTGATTTCATATCATATACACATTTTGAGGAACTGCTTTTGTCAAAATGACACTGAATGATTCCTTTTATGAATGAAACAAAACATAGTAGCAATCACTTCATTTTGCTATAGAATTAGTAAACAGTATTTTTTTGTCCTAGCCCTTTGTCTCTTCTGTATTTTAAAATTACATCAAGGACCTATTTCTATTTACTTCAAAATTAATCATCCCACGTGAATTAAGATATAGTAGCCATAAGTTCTTTAAATACTTAGCATTCTGTTTGAACTCTTGAACATCTGGCCATGGTACTTCTCATGGGACTTTTTCACTGGAGGCCCAAAGCTGCCCCTTTCCCATCTCCCCCATGTTTCTAGTCATAGAATTATTGTAGATCCAATTATACGACGCTTATCCTTGTATCTGGACACGGTTCCATGTGTTTTTCAAGACAGCTACGATATATCCATAAATTGATACCCAAGTAGTTCAATCAATTAGAGGTTCTGGGAAAATGTGTTAGGTTTGTGCCTATCTTCAGCACGATAACATCACTCCTCCACATTAGTTACTCTTCTTTCCAAATTATTTATAAGCCTTAGGTCAACTTGAAAATATTCATATTTTCATTTCATGCCTGCTAATCATGCTTTAAATGGTGACTATCAGAGATGCAAATTAATTGCAAACCATACGAAGGATGCACAAATTAAAATCTATGAAATTTAAATTATGAATGCAGTTGTATATCAGCTTCCAGGTCCCCCTGCGGTCACTAACAGTCTCACTTATTGTATATTATTCAATGCAAGCTGCATTTGTTGATGTAAGCAGAAATAGAGAGATTTTATGACTTTCTTCCCCTCCTAACTTTTCCTTTACCCTCTTCCTTCCATTTGTCTTCCTTCCTTTGTCCCTGTCTTGAATCTCCACTTTTATGTCTGCCTAACTTCAGCTCCAGGTTACTACCAGATCTCACCAGTCACACACTATTCTGCATTAATTTAATACATCATTTTTAATATTTTCAATTTTACATCCCACCGATCGATTCAAAGAACCTGAATCAGCCCCACCATAAAAAAATGAAAGCCTATTTTTCCAAGGGCATTTGTAGGGTTATGGCAATTGTGTTTTATGTGATTATACACAAAAAGTTTAAGAATATACACAATTTCAGTGGTATTATTGAGAGTAACTGTTGGGAATACCTCTGAATCCACTATGTACTTGAACACAACAAATGATTAAAGTAGCCAAAGCTTCTAAATGTAACATCATACAAAAAAGAACCTAGTTAAGTGAAGAGCCTAGTTTTCAGGTTAAAACTAAAAGACTCAACTGAAGTTTCCAGACTAGTAAGTTTTACTTTACATGCATGTGTTTTCCATCAATGCAGCCCATTCATGGCTTCAAAGCTTCAATTAACAAAATATGATAATTGACATGTCCAGTTAATAAAATCGATTTAACTGAAGTATTTCACAGTTTACCAACCTGTCCTTTTAGAAGCAAAGATGGGTATCATTTTATCGAAGAGCAACAAATTAATAATGGAAACCATTTGAATAAAATGTCTCTTGAGTTCCTCAGATTAAAAAGGGTCACAGATTTTTCAAAGCACAACTCAACAAATTCTTCATCTTGGTTTTATTTTGATTTGCATAAAATGTTTTTGAGTAGCATTATGTCGGTATCCTTCATAGTAACTAAACTCAAGTGCACACATGTTTAGCAAGATCATTTCAGGAAAAAGAAATGTCACCGATGTTTACCTGGCAAGGCTGTTTCATTTTAATGGCTATGACATGGTATCTGTAACAGCAGAGCTCACAGGTCCAGGAACCCCTCTCACTGATCCATTTCAGCAGGCACAGCTGATGTGTGTACCGAACAGATCCGTCACATCGGCAGGGATTTAACAACTCCCCCTGAAAAGATAACACCTCAGGTGAATATCTGTACTTGTGTCTCTGTTTAAAAAAACAAAACAAAACAAAACAAAACAAAACAAAAAACTAACACTTGCTTTCTTTTCTTTCAAAGCCATTTACGCAGATGGATACAAGCATCAATCTACATGAGAAAATTAAATTTTTATACTTCTGATGGGAATGAAACTACAGTCTTAAAACTATTTCAAAGATATTGCTTGATGTTATGACATAAATGTTCTACCAACACACAAAATGTCTGCAAGATATAGCTCCCAATGCCCTTGGGGGAAAGCTGTACTATTAAACCTCTTTAATAACTTTTAAGTGGATGGTCAGATGCATTTCCTCTGCAGTTATTCTTAATCATTGCTAAAGAAGAAATGCATGGCATCCCTGAAAGTAGCTTGCAATAGCGTTATGCTTTTATTTTTTCTAAATGTAGCATCATAAATATTGACTTAGGGCACTATATTCCTGAAAGCCTGCATATTCTTACGCAATTTCCTTACTTTTAAAAATACTAAACCTAATGTTTTCTCAGACCACACATTTTGTAAGAGGTATATTATCCTGCTGCCTCCATGATCACTCTCACAGAAGTTTGCATGTACCTCTAACGGAGTTTATAATGTTAGAATTATGTTTCTAACAAAATAAAAAAGAAGTTATTAGCTAAATACTCTTTCTTTCGCAAGGTCAGAGTACATTCCTATTTCTCTTGTAAACACTGTGACATGCTTTTCACATCAGTGAGTCAACATAATTTGCAATATGTAAAGCCCCTGCCCTTTTTGGTTTTGACGTGACTCACCCCCAGTTTGTATTCTAAGACTCTCTGCCTCTGTAGGCATGTGTGGAAAAAGGATTTGTTTCTATCTATAAACCAAAATCCATGTAGCAATTCACAAAGGAGATACTTATGACATTATCATTAAAGCACCTGAGGAATGTGTAACTGTAAAACCAGGTAGGAAAAATTAAGTGCAGACCCAATTAAACCCTGCGTTCGCCACCGGGACATTCTCATTTGCCTTGACAGAAAGGGAAAAGGGAACCCAGGTAGCTGCCGCTGAGTTGGCTGGACTGGACCAGCCGGGCTGGAGAGGAGCCGGGAGGCGAGCGCTGTCCGTGGTGCTGAAAGGTCGACCGTCCTGGGCAGGCGCCGGTCCAGCTCGGACCGGAGCCCCCCGCCGGCACCTCCGGGGTCCCGCAGGGCCTTCCTTACCTGCTCGGCGCCCTGGAAGCAGATCTTGCAGATGGGCTGGTGGTGCTGGTGCTGGTGCCCGGCGCGCTGGTCGCCACCGCCGCTGCTGCTGCTGCGGCTGCTACACACCGAGCGCGTCTCGGGCTGGTCGCTGGCGCCCCGCCGCTCGCCCTCCCCACCCGCGCCGGCCTCAGCCTCCCCGGGGACGCCCTTCCCCGCCGCCGCCTCGGGGACCGCCGCCTCGGGAAGGCGCCTCGGACCTTCCCCGGAGTCGCCAGCCGCCGACACCTCCTGGCCGGCGGGCGGCAGGGGCGCGGGAGGCGGCGGCAGCTCGTCCGAGCCCCGGCGCCGCGGGACCA